TTACTGACAGGTGACAAGAGGAGTGGGTGTCTGCAATATCACCAAAACCGAGGGTCCCTGACCCCAATCTGCCTCAAACAGAATACCTCTCATATAACAAAGCAGGCCATTCCCATAGAGCCAAGCGGCACTAAATGTGAATTCTTTATTGCAAAACTTTAGAGGTAAGAACTTTTTCCAGACATCTGTGGAATTAGTATTAATGAGAGTGCCCTGGAGTTCAGATATGCGCCTATGCAGCAGAAACGTCTCAGCCAAGCAACTGCTGGGCACACTTCTTGATGAGATGTCTAAGCCTGAAGGCATCAAAAAAGTACATTTCCATATTGGGAACATAACTGGTTTCCTCCTTAAGACTTTTTCCACCACCTCCTATCCACATTGTAATTCTCCTGTCTTCTCAAATGACTAGTTAACATATGTCAAGGATGTAAGGCATATACTGAGGCACTTTGTGCCTGACTCTATTACAAAAAATTGGAATCTTCCCACCAAGTTGCCCCAAAAAAGAAATTTAGTAAGCACTGAAAAAATGTTAAATAGTTTTAATAAACATTTCTTGACATTTCCCCTTGCTCACCTTAGTCCCTGAATTTTAGGAATGGAGAGAATCAGAGTTCATATAGCCCAAACTCCTCATTTTACAGTGGTTAAGAAAAATGATATACAGAGAAAGGAAGTGACTTGTCCTGAGTCACCCGGATAAGTAATGATAAAGGTGGGATTAAAAGTCAAATCTCCCAGATTTTCAGCCCCAAAATTCCTTCTACTATGTCAAGCTTTTTTTATCCCTTGAAATCTCTGGAGCCCTTGGCCTAAATAATTAGTACCACACAATTTTAAAGCTGGAAGAGATATCAAAGAGAGCCTCGCTTAATCCTCTCATTAGGCATATAAGGAAACTGAGGCCCAGAAAGATTAAGTGATTTGCTCTCAATATCTTGAATGGCAGAGAAAAAGTATAACTCAAGCTGAAAAATCTGCTAACCCATGCCCATGAGAAGGGAGGGAGGTCTCAGCTGGGCAAAGGTTTGAAAGGAATGTAGATCATTCCACACCAAAGGATTTTAGTTTGGTCTCCAGACCACCAGTCTTAGTGTCATCTGGGATCTGATTAGAAATGCAAAATCTAGAGTCCCAAAGGAGACTCACTGAGTCAAAGCTGGTGGAGGGGCTGTTCAAATCAGATGACTTTATTCCCTATTTTTCCCAGAAAGTGAACGTCAGTGTTCACATTGAGTCTACTAAGGAATAATTACAAATAACAGCACTTCAGATTTATGCATTCTACTGTATACTCTATACTTTAATTCTTGGAGATATTTAAAATTTGAAAAATGGAAAAAACTCATTTGAGTGTTCAGTTGACTCTGTTCTGCCTCTCTGCTCCTTACTGGCTGTTGATTGGGCAAGTAAGTTGTCTTCTCTATCTTGAGTTTCCTTTTCCATAAAGACGGCATGCCACCTTCTCAGAGGACACGCTGAGAACTGAATGTGATTTCTTATTTGAAAGCACTCTAGCTCGGCATCTGGCACATAGCAGTACACTGTGGTAGTCAGGGGCTCCAGGTATTGAGTAAGACAGAGTACTCTGGTCTTGCTACCTACCGTCTGGCTAGTTACTCTCAGGCACTTTCAGCACCTCAGTTTCCTCCTCTGTACAATATGAAAGAAAAACAGTTCTCTGCAGATTTGTTATGAGGATTTAGAGATGATTCACGTAAGTAATTTGTTTTTCATGCCTACAAACTTTACTGTTTAAGGAGCTTTCCCATCCATAAACCCATCTGATCCTCATGACTCTCCACAAGGAGATGGGTGCATCTGATTGATGATGGACTAGATTCCAGATGTACAATTCTTTAGGAATAGGAGAGAATATTGATCTTTCAGACAGGAACTACATGTATAGTGCACTTAAGTAATAAATGGGCTGGAGACAGATCAGGATTCTGGTTTCAACTCAGTTGCTATGTTGGCTTACAACCTCAGCCAACAGACTGGGGTCCACTTTGGGGGGCTAAATCACTTCTCAAAATAAAACTCAGATTCATCACCATGGCACAAGAAGTCTTACCCAGGCTGTCATCTGCCTACATCTCAACTCCAGCAGCTGCCATTCCCCTGCTCACGCACTAAGCTGCAGCGATCCCCCGCAGCCACTCTCCACTCCTCTTACAGACTGCACCAGTTTCTACCTACAGCTGCACTTACTGTTGCCTGTCTCCATCACTCTGCTCCCTTCACACAAATAGCTCCTTTTCACCTTCAATTAATGTCCATTCTTCAGACTCTGTCTCTGACCAAATTATCTAAATAGGTCCCGTCCCCTTTTCCCAGAGGTTATTTTCTGCAGCAGTGCTGTCCAATAGAAATATAATGAAAGCCCGTACATGTTGCAACTCCACAATGGAATGTAAACATTATGTACTGCAAATATGAACAAAAAAGGGCAACAGACTCAACAGATGGATTGGAGGAGGGGAGGGAAGGGAAAGGGGTGAAAAAAGGAATTAAGATGTATTATGTACACATACCAGCTCCCCAAAAGGAATGTGATTATGTACTACACACATGCACTAATAAAAAAAAATTTTAAGAAACTTAATAAAATTGCATATGTAATTTTAAATTTTCTAGCAGTCACTTTAAAAAGTTTATTAATAAGGTGATATTGGTTTTAATAATTTTTAACTCAAATATATTATCATTTCAACACATAACCAATATAAAAATTAAGAGACTTTAATTTCATTATCACATACTAAGTCTTTGAAATCCAGAGTGTGTATTACATATACACAAGAGCTTAATTCAAACTAGCAGTCTTCCAGGTGTTCAATAGTCACATGTATCTAGTAGCTACCACACAAAATAGCACAGCTTTATAGCAGGGTACATTTCCTTCATAACACTTATTGCCATCTGAATTTGACTGTTTTCTTGTTTATTATCTGATGATTCTCCACCAGAGTTTCCTGTCAGGCAAAAGCAAGCGACTCATCTACTTTATTTGATGATTTACACCCAGGAGAGGTAGTACCCTGCACACAGTAGGTGTTATTTGTGGGCAAATAAATAGGCTTCTTCTAGCCATAATATTTTTGTATAAGTCCACAGACTAGCCATTCCATAACTCCCAGACAGTCACACAATCACTCATTCAATAACCAAATGCAGTGTCTTCTACTTGAGATGCTGAGGCAGCAAGATCACAAGTTACCTAACCTGGGCAACTTATCAAGACCGTGTCTTAAAAAATGCTGGGATGAAGCCAAGTGGTAGAGCACCCCTGTTATCAATCCCCAGTACCACAAAAGAAAGAAAAAAAAAAAGAAAAAGACAGGGAAAAAATCAGCTTTATATGTCCCTAATGCTTACAAATTTTTTCCCCCGTGATTTCTGGAGTCAGTTTTTTATACTATATTGGTTGAGAGTGTCACAAAAATAATTGCTAATATTTATTGAATGTTCACTCTTTGACAGGCATTGGTCTAACCACTTTACATTTCTCAACAGCTCTTTGAGGTCAGTACCATTATTGTCCTGCCCCAGATGGGGAAACCAAGGCATAGGAGGTTAAGTATTTTGTTCAAGGTTACAGCAGCCATTTAGTAGCAAAACAGATTCCAAGCAGCCTGGGGCTCCAGACTCATGGCTCTTAATCACCCATTCCTGACTGCAGAGCTGTCCAATAGAAATACAAAGTCAACTATACTTGAACTTTATATATATCAAACTTCAAATTTTCCTAGCAGCCACTTTTTAAAAACAACAGAAATACGCAGGTGGTGGTGTTATTTTTAGTGTCTTGTTGCCCTGACTGACCCCAAACTCATTAGATTCAGGTGCTTCTCCAGCCAAGCCTTCCAAGTAGCTCGAACTACAGATGTGAATCATCACACCTACATTAAGATTGGTTTTATTTTTTATTTATTTTTACTTTTTGGTAACAGGAATTGAACTCAGAACCTTGTACTTACCAGGCAGGCATTTATGCTGCTGAGCTACATCCTCAGCCCTAAGACTGATTTTAAGTGTATTTTATTTCGCCCATTATCCAAAATATGACCATTTAACCAATATGATCAATAATCAAGGTCACATAATCATACATGATCACATAATCATATAAATTTCTACTTTATACCAAGCCTTCAAAATCCATGAGATTTTACATTGATAGTACTTCTCAACTCAGACTAGTCACAGTTCGTGTGTTCAAATACAATGTGTGGCTAATGGCCACCAGGTAGACAGCAGTTCTCCTGAGTCTCTTTAGGACATTAAGTGATCGGGAAAGCTTTGGGTTGGGAGCCAGGACACTTGAGTTCTAGTTCTAACTTTTACTTGTTGAGTGACTTCAGTCAAGTATTTTCTGGCCTCTGGGTCACCTTTTCCCTACAAGTACCTAAGCAAGGAGAACAAGAAGACTCCTGGGAACCCTTTCCACGCCAGAATTCCAAACATCTTTCAACAACCACAGCTTAGATGGGGACAGCTTTTCACGCTTTCAAAACAGCTTTCAGATCCATTAGTTAGTAGAGTTCTCAAACAATCTTCCCAGGTAGTTATTATTGTCTCCAATTTGTAGATATAAAAACTGAGGCTCAAAAAGGGAGAAGTGACTTATCCAAAAGCCACACAGTCAGTGGGAAAGCTAGGGCCCATATCCAAAGAGCAGTGCAGGCCCATTACTCCGACCTCAAAATCAATGCCGGAGGTGGGGGGCAGAGAGATGGTTGTGATTACTGCACAGTGTGGGGCTTCAGAGGAGCTGCCGGGACCAGTCCCAGCAGCGGAGTAAGAGAAGGTGAAGAGGTGCAGGCCCAGAGCAGGAATGAACTGGAAGGACCCAGGAGAGCCTCAGTGAAATGAGAGGCTGCACTCCCCGATGGCATGAAAAGCAGGGGGCCTGGGAATGAGAAAAGGTGAGACGAAGGCCTTGCGATCCCTACCCAGGCTAGGGACAGTCCCCCGGCCCTTCCAGCCCCTCCTACCTGGTAGCTTAGAAGTTCACCCACGTCCATGTTCCCACTCCAGTCAACGCTGGGAACCCCTGTTCCCTCCACTCACACCCAAACCGTGGGCCACTCAGAAGCGGTTCCAGCCACACTGCCATAAAGCGCTGCGAGCGGGCCTTCTGAGCCAATAGGATAAAAGTGCGCGAGAGGAGAGCGCCGGCCACACTGCAGTAAAAAGCGGTGCTGCCGTAAAGCGCGTTGCGTTTGTAATAGTACTGCTTCCGCTTGGAAGCAGAAGCAGGCGGGGAGGAGACTTGAAGGGGCGAGATCTGTTAAGAGAAAGGACCAAAAGGAGCCAAGATTGATTTCACGCCCTCTATGTGCAGGGCGGAGTGTTAAGAGTTTCCCGTGTGCTCTAGAAGCCTTCCAGGACTTTGGGTTCAGACCTGCACTGTCTGATACTCTACTCACCAGTCCAGGCTACCAAGCGCCTGAAATATGACTAGTACAAATTGAGATGTCATAAAGGTAAACAAAATACACGGTGGATTTTAACACTTAGACTGGTTACATATTGTAATACTTTGGATATACTGGGCCAAATAAAATGTATTATAAAATTAATTTCACTGTTTCTCTTTACTTATAAAGTACTTCATAGAAAAATTACATCTGTAGATATCATGTATTATATTTACAATAAATGCTGCTAGCTCAAAAACTGACTCCTCCAAGCCAGATGATTATGAGAACTGCTAGTGATCACATTTCCCTTTCTGAGCTTTTGTTTAGTCAACTAGGCAAGGTCCAGTGAGACTTGGTTGATCTTGTCTACCTAAGCGATATAAAAACGTTTTCTGAACCGGGTATGCTGGTGCAGGTCTGTAATCCTAGCACTCTGGGAGGCAGGAGGATCAAAAGTTCCAGCCCAGCCCAGCCTAAGCAATTTAGGAATTCAGCAAGACTCTGCCTCAAAATAAAAACTGTGGATGTCACTCATTAGGAAGGCCCTGGGTTCAATCCCCAGTTCTAGTCAATCGATAAATCAATCAATGCTTTCTGGAGGAGAAATTTGCCCTTCATTAGGGAAAAAGCAAAGAGTACATTTAATGTTCTGAAACTTAGTAAGGCTTTATCTTCAAGAGGAGCTAAACCTTCCTCCCAAAGTTCTCTGCCTTTCAGATTCATATTAAATCACCATCTCCATCCCATCTCATCTTTTATACAGAAATCATTTTATTTCTCAAACTCCCAAATTCCTCTCCTCTAAGGAAGCAACCCTTTGTTTGCTTCATTTTCTCTCCTAGCACCTTCTCCACTGTAGCGACCAGCTCCAGCTCTAGATGTTCCCAGGGGGAAAGATGGTGAGAGGATGAGAAAGAAAAGAGATGACAGCTGAGGTCAAGTGGAGCCCGCTCTCTCCATGGGAAAGAAGGGACTACTGAACCGCTGTAGTACCTCTACTTATACATTCAGAAAAATGATGTCAGTTTCAACACTGCTGCCTAGCAACTTGTTTGCCTGGATGGCCTGGGCCCCTTGCCTTCTTAGAGCTGGAATAGCTTGTTTACATGGCTTATTTTGGGCTGTTTCTAGGGCTGGCCTTGCTTTAGCCCCACACATCTGATCAATCTTCAGCTTTAGTGGCTTCCGATATATCCCTCTTGTTTTGTTTTAGTATGGGACGGATGGTTAGTTGAATCTGGAGGATCTGTGTTTGAAGGACTCTGTGGAAGACCTTTTCATTCTTGAACACTTCATTTTAAGTGCAGTCCAAGGATTTTAAATTCCTGCATTCAGTAGTTTAACACTACAATCTGTTAATTCGAACAGTAGATAACTGTCAGTGTAGCTGGAAATTTTCAGAATGTATTACTGATTTGAGTTTCTTTTATAACTAACGTATTACTATAGCATTGTTTTATATATTTTGTGGTTATACTTTCCTGTTGGATGTCCAAGACCAAGTTAAAATGAGACCTGTATTAATAATAATTAATCTCTTGCTATCTATCAATGTCAATTAAGTCTCCTCAGGAATTGTCTTGGAACTGTGCACAGCACCTCTTAGTTATTTTGTCAGTGCCATCCATTTGAATGAGTCACAGCCATTGCAGGTACAAGAACTCTGTAAATTCCCAAAGACTACTTATACACTTGTATGATGCCCCTTTGCTGAACTACCTTGCTTCTTATGCCCCCTGTTCTCAGGGCTGGCACACCTGTCCACCTCCAGCACCCCATGCCCTCAGGGTGTTTCTCAGGCACTCCATCCTCTTGGGCACTCCTGTGTGGGCACTTCTGCTTTCAGGTTTGCATGTATGAATGCTCACTGGCTCAGCAATTCCCAACAACAGCTTAACAGCCTGGACAAACTGACAAACAGATACACAGCCAGACTGACAAACATCTTACAAAATCAGAGTGCCCTGGAATATATTTTTAGCCAAACTGTTATGGTTTGAAAAGTGGTGGTCAACTTAATGCCAGCTGGATTACATCAGCATGCATTGAGAAAAGATGCTCCACCTGAGGAGGGTTGCCAGGATAAATAGGTGGAGAAGAAGAGAGGTGTGGAGAGGGATTGAGGCGTTATGGAGGCATTGTTGGTTCTCCTACGAGTTACTGTCTGAGCTGTTGGTTCTCCTGGAGAAGCTCTGGTCTTCACATCGAGCATTGCTTCCTGGCTCCGGAGGGGAACACATGTGCTGCCTGGTCTCCAGGATGAACTCCTCACGCTGCTTCCTGGCACGTACCTGACTGTGCTTGTTGTCGGAGGAGGTCAGCTGTGGTTCCTTTCAGGACAGCCCCGCTCTTTGTTGTGAGTGTGACTTCTCAGCTCCAGTGTAGAACTCTCATCCCACTAGCACAGCTCCTTAATCCTGCTGGCATAGACTTTCTGGCTTCCACCGCTGACCCTTGGGTCTTCCCGGCACGAATCTGTAAAAGAGACTGGCGTGAGTCCTTCTTGTGGGCCCTGGACTTCCAGTTGGACTCGTGGAGGCGTTGTTCTGAGCTCTGGGTTTTTATCTGGACTCATTTGGGACATTGCCATAGGGTTTAGACTCTTGACTAAATAATCTATGTCGTTGGTGTTGCGGATAGATTTCCTGCATTCTCCTGTGTTAACTTCCGGTGACCATTATAAAAATATTATAAACTACATGTCCTGATCTGAATTGTTCTCTGTGTACAACCCCAGACTACAACACAAACTGAATCATCTATTCAGATCTTTGATTTTTATTTTTGGTTACCACTTCCTGGGCATCCTGGGTCAGTTAAGGTTGGTTTCAGTTTCATCTTTTTCCGTCAGTAGTGGTGTGGTGTCTGAAGCATCACTGTTATGGGACTGAGCACTAGCTTCTTGGTTTGGCTGTGATACAGCCAGGCAACACATTCTGGCACCCCGATAGGCCATTCTGCATTGTCTGAAAACATACAAGCACACTGTCAACACCAAATTAGCTCTGAGCTGGGTCCCTTCCATTGTTTAGTATGAAGATCTTTCTGAAGGACCCTTCCTAGCTTCTTTCTTTTACCTGATTGAATTGTCATGCTGCCCAATAAAGTCTAGGTAAAACCCCCTCCCCTGAGCCTCTTTTGTTTGTTTTGTTTTCATAATTAACTTTTGAGCAAGTTTGACAATTTTTAGCGTGTATCTGGGTTAAATGGAATTGTTTGTATAAGGCAGAAGCATTAATGGAAGGTGGCATGGGAAACAAGGCTGTTGAACAGGGTCTGAGGGAGTAAGAATTCATGTAGAAGACAGCAAAAGTAGCAAGAGCAAAAGAGGGGACACTTAATCCTCCTTTTTCCCCTACACTGTAAGCAAGCTACCTCCCTAGGGTGGGCACAGCATACACACCATCTCTGCCCTCTTCCTGCTCAGTACAAGCATGTTTACAAAATGAGAACACCGCCCCACCCCCAACCCCCAACCCCATCCACCCCACCCTCCACCCCCCCACCACTCCACCGTGTCCCTTGGCAAAGCTTCCAAAGTTCAAGTTGACACCATGTATGGACCATTCCCATCCATGATTGTCAACTGGGAAGCCAGAACTTTGCTTTAAACTAGTGTTTACATAAAAAGACATGCTCATCTTTAACATTTTACAACTTGAACATTTTAACATTTAATAATCCTTAAAGAACCAGTATTAAGTCTGTCAACACTGTATTACATTTCACCTTAGCAGCTGAAACAAGCAACATTGTTTCTCCACTTTCCTTGTCTCGGCCAAGCTGGAGGCTCAAATTGGACTCCGGATACTTACAGGCCTGTGAGAAGAGCAGAAAGCAGTTTATCCTTGGGGTTTTTTAAAAATTTTATTTAAAGAAAGACTAAACAAAACAGAAAATGGGTAGAAATAATACATACTTTCAAAGAAAAAAATGAACAGTAAGAAATCACTAGTTGATGATTACAGATTGTCCTCTTACAAATAGTTATTTAACATACTAAAATGGAGCATATAAAGTGGGGATTCAACCCCCCAGTGAGACTGCAACCAGTTCTGTTCAACTATCCAACACAAACTTAGAAATATGGTTATCAATCCTATACACTTAAGCATACATGCAGTTATCCATATCTTCAATTATGTTGACGTTGAATAAACCCAAGCAGGCTAATATCTCTCTGAACAAAGAATAATACTATTGCTGGGTTTCATATTATGACACTCCAGGATCAGCTCTGGGTACTTTAGTGTCTCTTTTTTTTTCAAAGTATTTGTTCATTTCATCATGTGTCATAAGATCAGTTCTCATAAACTGTTTATAGATTCTACCCATGCGTGAGTCCTAACATGTCTTTCTATCCTTTCTATATTAGATCTCCCTGTTAAATAATGTTTTAAAGTCTGTAGAGGTCCAGATAGATTTGTGCTGATTTGTTTTTCCCTAACCTTGCTCTAAGATGTTTTCACATTTCCTCCCAAATATGTAAATTTACAATTCCTCCTTCTGGAAACAAACTCAAGAAATTTAGGAAGCTGTGTCGTGTCAGGGTATTGAAAACTAAAAATTGATATAAGGAAGCAAAAAAACTCTAAATAAATATAGAGTTACATTGACTGTGAATCTGAAACAAGTACCCCTGAATTAAACTGTTTTGGAAATAAAATAGAGTTTGAGGATTT